CAATTCCAGGTTTAAATTGTTTTTTTTTCTGCAGGTACTAAAATAATTTTTACTATTCAAGGTTACTTGAAAGTCTGTTGGCAGCTACTCAAATTTAACAATGTAATGACTGGAGGCCAAAGTGGGGGGGGGAAGAAAAAAGAAAGAGAGGACACTTGAAAATTCAAGTGGCTGCAGCCACGTTTGTTATAAAAAGTTGCAGTAAGTAGGATAGAGTAGAATATGGAAGAAAACTATTATATATATAGATATAGATATAGTCACACATATATTTGATGCTGAGAAATGGATTGTAGAGGATGTAGTATATAGAAGGAACTCTGTTACTATGCTTACTTTTGTTGGTTTGGTCAAGTCCAAGGAATTCCTTCCTTCTAAAAGCTCCTTGTTAGTTAAAGGGGACTAGGGTGGCATGGCCTTGGCTTCTCAGTTAATCCTTCTCAGGTTCCAGTTTTCCTCTCTGGTCTAATTGGTGTTTCCAGACAAAGGTTTTAACTTTCACTTCTGACACTGATATTGGACACAGGCTTTTCTGTATAACTATCAGGGATTACCTACACTGGTTAATGACAAAAATCAGGGCAGAGTTTCTTCTTTGGGCAGTTCTCACCTGATGTTACTGACTTCATAGTATATTAAATGTACTCATTTCTTAAGTGTACAGGTTTTCAAAGAGGCAACATTGAAAAAACATATATCAATGGCTTCCAGACTAAATTCTTATTTATGGGGTAAACTTTTAGGCCCAAGCATTGAACTTTCCCTTACTCATGGTCCAGCTACATGTGATAAGATGTACATATTAATCCAGCATGAGACAACCAGCCAAGTTTCTTCATGGCATTTAATATAATGATGTCATTATAATTTTTATGCTAAAATATTATGTTGCCCTTGGTCTCATGTTTTCTTACTGAAGCTTTATAATTGTTATCTGTTAACATTCTGCAGGGAAACAACTCCTAAGACAAGTGTGATTGATAAGGAAATAATGATTCTCTGGTCATACTATATATTTCAGGGTGCTTGATATCAAGATAAAATCATAAGATTAAACCTACTGCTCCCACAGCAATCCTGATGTAACTGATCTCTTGGGTGGTCAACAACTGAAGTTTGATGTTCAATGGGCTAAGAGAGCAGCCAACATTTTGGCTCTGGTTCTCCAAGGTCAATAAGGAGCTAGGACACGAGGGTATACTTTCTATTGGATCCTGCAACTTTGGTGAGTCTCCCAACCTCCCGAATAGGAAGATTGTTGGATCCAAGAGTACGTCACTCAACCAATGTCTAATGTGCTAAAAAGGTCACTTGGTGACCCATCTTGACTGTTGACATTGACAGAGGAGCTGAGAGACTCTGCACGTGGTTCCAAAAGTAATACCTGAGGAGCCTTAACTGACCTTCATAAACAGCAAGATGTAATTTTGATTAATACATGACTCATTTTAACTTGGTTTTAAACAGCTAGCAGAAAAGTATGACTAAAGAGATATTAAATTAATAGTAATATAAGCTAGACAAAAAAGGGGCTCCCTTTGATGATTTCTAGCTACACCTGTAGATAAATCCAGGCATAAGCTGGTTACAATTGCTATTCTAGTGCCTTAAAAACAGTGTCTGGACTTGACTCCTTCAATATGTCTTTCTATTCTTGAGTTCATGCTTCAGACATATGTGCTTTGATCTCCTGGTAAAGTTTGTCTGTTCTCACCTAGGGACTACCAACATTCCCAGTGATCATGCAGATGGAACCCAAGATAAAAATGCTTTGAATCTGCGCCTACCCCACAAAATCTACCTGAGGGTCACATGCACCATGCTTCATATGACATCTTCCAGATAAACAAGATAACATAACAGCAGCTCTGCAGGAGATGAGCACAGAAGTTCAGGCAGTATATTGGTGTTTAGGACTCCCTGAAAGTTCATGGGATTCATGGAAGTCCACCATCCTATCTCAGTCTTTTCCCTCTATAGTGCCTGTTCCCTTTTTACTTGTTTATTATTGCCATGCCTAATCAATCTGTTTCAAAGATTTTCAGCCACTGGACTGTAGTGATTTCACAGGCAGTTGCCACAGACCACATCAACATGGTTCTCCTTCTTCAGTTCAGACAAAACCCTAAACACTGCCGGCCCTAATCACCATGAAGTAAATAAGGCAGAGATGTGCTGCCCATTTTCCCTATCGAACCATAGCATCCAGAATGAAGAAATATGACCACTGCCAACCTGATTGAGACCACTCTAAGCAGCTCCCAGCACAGCTACACTCAGTGACCCATCCACTCTCATGCCTGCTGTTGATAGGCAGTGTCCTAAAGGCTCATCCTTGGACCACCACTTACTCTTCGAAAGCTTTGTTCTTGGTGGGAAGCCCAACCTCTTTTCACTGAATCCTGGTTACTGTGATCCAATAGAAGATCCTATAGCTTCTACAAAAGGCTGGTGATTAACCCAGAGTATTCTCTCTCAGTTTTCTTTTCTGAAATAAACTTGTCCTGGTGAGTTATATGCAGCCAGATATTTGAGCCTATTCTGGATTTAGGAATCTTACTGTAGTTGGTTTCTCAATGTCATGCTTTTCACAGACTTTCTTGCTTTTTTCCTTGTCAAATATTTCTGGCTAAAGGATTAAAAAAAGTAAAAGCATTTTTGTTTGATGTAATATAAAATATGGAATTGATCTTTCTCCCCAAATTTTAGTTTTTTGAGTTCTGTGTTTAGGTTACTAAAATATAGTTTTTAGCAATTCATGTAAAATTATATCAAGATTAAAATATTTTTCTTAAATCTACACATTCCATCTCAGCATTAGGACCTCAAACATAGTTCGCCTTTGTTGTTTTTTGCTTTAAACAGTGTTTTAAGACGCAAAAGTGAAATTCTAGCAGGGACACAGAGACTCAGAAAATGCCACATTGCTCATGAGTCTGAATTTTTGTTCTCCAGGAATGAAAAAAAAAGTGTTTTCCTTCTTTTTCTTAACAGTGAGGATTCCAGGGTCTCCATGTGCTCCATAACACTTGTTATTTTCTGACATTTTTGGTTCTAGCCATCTCACTGTGGTTTTGATTTGGAGTTCTCTGATGCCTAATGATGTGAATTATCATTTCACGTGTTTACTGGCTATATGAAGATTTTCCTTTAAAGTACAAAAGATTTTTTGTTTTTATGAGGTCCAAAATATACATTTTTATTTTCATTGCTCATACTTTTAACATTATATGTAAGATTTTCTTGCCAGCTCCAAAGTCATAAAATTATATTTTCTTCTAAGAATTCTAATAGTGGATCTTTGTTGTATTTTGAGTACAGTTTTCAATATGATGTGAAGCAATGGCCCAAATTTATTTATATTTTGCATGTGACTACTCAATTGTCCCAGGAATATTCGTTGAAAAACCATTCTCCCATGATATAATTAAGCATTATTGTTGAAAATCAATTAACCATAGACACATGACTTCTGGCTCTACAAATTCTACTCTATTTGTCTCTTTGTCTGCCCTTGAGTCACTAACACAATGTTTTGACTTCTATTGCCTTGTAGTGAGCTTTGAAATGAGAAAGCCTAAGTGTTGAACATTGTCCCTTTTCAGAATTGTTTGGGCCATTCTGGTCTTTTGAAAATCCATGTGAATTTCAAAAGCAGCTTGTCAGTTTCTATAAAGAAGTCACCTGGGCTTCTAATATGGATTATGTTGAAATTATCTGGTGTGTTCTTAAAGGGCAAAATTCAGACTTGTGCAATTTCCACAGTGACTTCTTTATTTCTCTCAGAAATTTTGCTCAATTAATTTTTAAAAAATCTTTTTACTGTAGAATAAAGCAAAGGGATAGCAAGTGACATGTAACACACATATACATTAATAAGTAAGTAGAGAAACACTCACACCTACTCATTAAAAAGTTAAACATTGTTAAAAATAAAGCATTACAGAAGTCACTCATGTATGACTGGAAATCCTAACTTGCCCTTTGAAGAAGTAACAGTTATCCTTACTGTTATCCTAACCACTCCTTTACTCCATCAAGTTATCATCCTTAGGTATTTCCCTAGAAATTACCACATAGCTTTTCATTAAAAACAGATATTATTGAAATATTTTTAACTTATAAGTCACTCCTCTGTTCCTTTCATTTTCTTGCAATATACCTGTTGAATAACCTGCTATATTTGAAAGACAGCTTATTACAGCCTAGATTTGGCTGATTGCATTCTCTTGGGACCAGCTAAAAGTTTCCTCTATTCTGTGTTTCTTATAAATCAATATCCATGATCATGATATCCATGTTTGATCTTGTTGACAACACCATTCCCAGCATAAATTTTTTTCTTCCAGAAGCACAATATGTGATGCTAATACCAGTTGGTGCTCAATGCTTTAAACCCATTCATTCACTGGATAGGAAAATGGTGATATTTTATTAATACCATTAATATTTAATCTATCATTTACAATACTTTTATGAAAAGGTGCTATTCCTCGGGTACCATAAGCTAATTCTTATAGGGAAGGATGCTTGATTTTTTCCCTCTTGTTCTTCAGTTTTCAAAGTGATGACTTTATTATCTGTTATTTCCTAAGGAAATTAGGTCATTTAAAGTTATTATAAACTCACGGATTTAAACATATTCTGTGTTGTAATTACACAGAATCACAGCGATTTTAATGTATTGTGAGGCCCAAATTGTTCCACGTTTTGTGCAGAGGAAACTTTTCAACTAGTTTCTGAGTCTTTTAACATGACCTTCATGTTACCTGACAATGATGTGTCCAGTGGTCCTTCCCAGGCTCTTATCCTGTTCAAAAAATTGGACAGGACAACCAATGAACATAAAAGATTAACAGTTGTTGAATATAAAAGAAGAAAAGAGTTATGAACTAACTCTTGGGAAAAAACAGGGAGAAAATGCACCCTGTGTGCAGGGTGGACCATTGCAAGAACTAGAAGACAGAGGCAGCAAGGTCAATGGCTGTTGTCTTTTTTTTTAATACATGGAATGCTTCCTGAATTTGCATGTCATCTTCATGCAGGGGCCATGCTAATCTTCTTGGTATTGCTCCAACTTTAGTATATGTGCTGCTGAACTGAGCATGGCTATTGTTTTTAAATCATCTTCTGGCTTCAGATCCAGGCTGTCCCAATGGGGCTCCATAACTGACAGGTCAACCCCACGGGCCTGCCAGTTTGCCGTGCCCTAATTTTCTGCCTCACTAATAGTCTCCTATAGCCCCCACACTGCTATGTCTGAATGTTTTGTGTTTTATCCTGTATATTTCCTGTCTCAGAGTTTGAGTCAGCCAAAGAGTTCTGGTTATTTCAGTGGAGAAGTTTTAAGACAAAATTTGATTGTTTGGAAGAATCCTTCTTCTCTTCCAAAGAGAAGAAAGTTAGTATTTTCCCTTTGCTGGGCAGTACTAAGAGTTGTTTTCTTCTCTGTGTGAATGTTTATCAAAAATAGATAAATCTCAAATTAGTTTTGTAAGTATGTATTTATTGTTCAACATCAGTGTGTGTCAAAGATAGATTGTAATTAGTTCTACAAGGACCTACATATTTCATGTTCACTATCAATTTTTATATCAATCTCTAGTTATTTAGTTTTATGAAACAATAAAGTTCTAATAAATTAGATAGAATATTCTTATCATTTTTTTGTTTTCCCTTGATACGTTTTTCTTGTTCTGGGACTCATACAATTTATATGTTGAAACTTCTTTGCCTGTCTTTTTATCATTTTTTCTGATTTTACATGTATTTTAGAGCTTTAAGCTTTTTCTCCTCTTTACCTTTTGCTTTTGTAAAAGATGGTCTTTATGATTGCTTGCCATTGATCTTTCTGATTTAATTTTAATTTCTGGCACTCTTTTCTTTCCTATTTTCTCTCTTTTAACTTCTAAGGATGTCTAGTTCTGATTTATATTGCTTTTTCATATGCACATTGTTTATCAGTCGAAGTATTGGTAAAGTTAAAACATATAGTTGTTTTAAATTCATAATAGATAAGAACAGAAAAATAAACAGTGTACATTATAAATTCATACAAAACACACATAAAAATAAGAAATGATTATTTCATTAGTAATTAAATTCTGAGAAATAGAGACTACTTTTTGTACATATATGCATCTTCAAAACTTATTATTTTTTGGAGGGGTACAGGTATTGAACTCAGGGCCGTGTGCCTACTAGGCAGGCACTGTGCTGCTGAGCTATATCTCCACCCACTTTTGTATATTTGATTGGCAAGGGTGAAATATAATGCTCATGACTTGCAAGGGTGCCAGGAAATGCCCAACTTCACACACTACTCTGAGGAGATGCATCGCCTCAAAAGTCTTCCTCTAGCTTCAGACACACGTACCACATCATTCTTGTGCCTTTGAAGCAATTCTGGAAGTTCTCTTTCCTGGGTGTTTTTACCAGGTGTTATTAAACATATAATGAATGCTGCAGCCCGGACCATCCAATAGAAAGGCAGGATTGTGAGAAGGACAGCGTGTCTTCATTCACTTTATTCACTGGATTGTCACCGTGAGACTTCTGGCTCTTCTCCGAAGGCAAAAGGATCACAAAAGGTAAATGTTTTGAACCGATTCAGGACATCAAGACAATGAATAGCGCCCAACTGAAGACACTCTGGAAAGAGGATTCCTAGAACTGTTTCAGAAAATGGCAAGGATGATGGAAAAAGTCTGTTCAAAGACCGGGGAGAATATTTTGAGTGGGACTGATGGCAATGTGTCTGTTACTGCAACAAATTTTTAAAAATTTAAACATTCACTCTATTTTGATCTTGCCTTATGCAAACTTTTTGGAGAATTTGGCATTATATAATAAACAAATCATTAACATTATAATACAATTTGGCCTAGAAATTTCACTTCTAGAGACAGATTAACATTAAGGTAACATACTTTCTGGAACTAGAAATTTTTAGTTCAAATTCTGGGCCCACAAATTCATAAATGTATTTTTGGAAAGGCTACTTTACCTATTTGAGCCTCAGTTTCCTTAATCTGTATAATTTGGTAATTTGTAGGGTTTTGATGCTTATATGGTTCAGTACACACAATGATGACTCAGGGTACTGTTTGTCATACAATCAGTACTCTATAATGTTTGTTTTCTGTCTCTCATCTTCTTTTGTTTGTTTGTTTTGCAATACCAAGTCCTTTCCACTGGCTACGTCACCAACCTTTTCATATTTTTTGTTTCAAAAAATGAAATACATCACTAAGGTGCCCAGGCATGTTTAACCTGAAATCCTGACACTTTTGTCTCAGTCTCTTAATGTGCTGGGATTACAAGCCTGTGTCACCAGGCCTGGCTTCTTTTGTCATTTTATTAAAATAAAATTTTCAATCTGCTTTTTTCGGACCTCTAAGTTTGATTTTGAAGGGAAATTTATTCCCCAGGTTAGCCTTAACAATATTTTCTCGGACCTCTGCTTGACTTAGTAGCGTAACTCTTGGATTCTGTGTCTGAATTACAGATTCTGCCCTCTGTGGAGCCTCCTCTGCCGAGTGTCATTAAGTTCCCTGGAGGGGGCCTAACACCCATCTCATGTGCGCCTCTTTCTACCTGCTTAGTTTTAAAGTTTGGATTGGAACTCGGTTTCCTCCCAGGGATTCCTGTGTCACTTACGACTTGGAAGCACTACAGAAGACATATGTTGGCTGCTGTCCATGTTCCTTGTTCATACAAGCTGAAATGCAGGCGGACGACAGAAGGGTGGAAGATGTCTGATGAAGGAGTTTGTCTTTTGCACGTATGTGAATTAGACATTCCCTCCGGAAAGACTTAGAAGCACTAATTCCCAACATGGAGAGTGTGCTCTGTTTCTTGTCTTAGGTGGTGCCTCATTTAACTTCTCATCTCTCATTGGCACATATATATGGAACACGAATTTTCCCTGCCACAGGCAAAGGGGATGCAAGTTGGTATAAGATGAGAGCTTGGTCTTAAAGCCATCTCACACTTAGATCATTATATAACAAAATGTTACTGTGAACGAAGGCTAAAGACAAGCAGAGCATTGTGTGCCTGTTTCTAGGGTGATACCTGAAGGGAAGAACTAGCCTGGTCTGATTCCAGCGGTGAGTTTACAAAGGCCTTGACTTTGACCATGTCCTGTGTGTCAGGGGGCCATGCCCAGTCATGGAACCAGCATGCCTGGAAGCATAGATCCATGCCAAGATCCTGGTAGTTTGCTCTGTACCAGTGATACCTAGTACTGCCAGAGCAGGAGACATAGATGTAGGAGATGTTTATAAAACCAGAGCATCAATAAGAGGCCACATCTTGTCTAAGATTAGATATAATTTTCAACATAATGAGGGCTTTGCATCAGGGGAATGACCAGACCAGATAAGTGCTTTATTTAGACAATTTGTGGTATGATGTGGATGATGGGTTGCAGATGAAGAGATGAAATCAGAACCCTCTCCAGTGGCCTGGTTGTGAGGGAGAGGGACGTATCTGGAAGAGGGGAGGTGTAGAAGGAGAGGTGGAAAGCCTCGTGTGTCAGGACCTGGCAGGAAATCAGAAATTGTGACTTAAAGAGAGTGAACATCACAGAGGGCTATGTGCTGGGTTTCTGGCGTGGGTCACTGGACAAGCAACTCAGCCAAAGCAGTGTCTAGATGAGAACATGTGTCTTGTTGGCGCTCAAGATATTTTGAAAATGCTGAATTTGAGATGCCTGTGGGACATCCATGGAGAAGTCTCTAGAACATCATTGTAGTACAGGTCAGTTCATCAGTAACAAAAATAAGAGTGATAAATGTCTCCTCAAGGGTCTTCAACCCATATGCAGTGTTTAAAATTGTTGGACCAGGTGAATTTTCCAGGGACAGCGTGGGGGAGGCATTCAGTGCACAGAAGTTGAATTACAGGAAGGTCGGCACGGAGAGGTAATGTAGCAGATTGCACATATTTCTAGGCTCTGGTTCCTCAGGGCGGGCATCCCCTGACATTGCAGAGTGCATAACCTGTGTAGCAGTTTTTGTAAGCCAGGGAAAAGAGCAGGGTGTTTACATAAGGCTAACAATGAATGGTACTAGAGGTAGGAACAGAACTAGGAAAGCATGTGACACAGAAACCACAGTGGCAGAACATTTCCCAAAGGCTGGGGGATGCGATACATTGTGTCTAGGACATCTCAGATTCTGAGGGGCTGATGGATAGGAGCTCTTTTGGGGAGCCTTAGAGGAGAAGTTTCCTTGAACTTGCAGGGGCAAAATCCTAAGTCAGTGGGTAGAAGCATGATTGAACATGATGGAAGGCAGGACAGATCAGCAGTGCAGCTGCTTGCTGCATAAGTGAGCCAGGGAAGAATGAAGGTGGTGGGTCAGGGGTGGAGTGTAGTAGCAGAGTCTTCACTGTGAGCAGTTTCAATCCAGGATGCACAAAGGGCACTTGGCAGGAAAGAGAGAAAGGAGGAGAACGAAGGTGAAAACACAGAAGAATTGAACCGCAGTAGCCACCAACACCAAGAACGAGAAGTTTTCTGTCTACCTCTGAGAAGCTGGAGAAGACTCTTCTTTGTCCATTCCATGTGGAGTGGGAGAGGTGGAGCCAGAGCCGGTCACAGTGCAGTCACAGGGGCTGGAGGCATAGATCACCTGGCAAGGCAGCCTTTAAAAGGGGATGGTTCCAGTCAGAAGTATCAACTCTCCCAAAGGCATAACTCACATGGGAGGGATTGTACGAGGGTTTTATCAGGTTCCACCATCTTCCTGCAAATTATGTGGTTTCATGCTTTTACTCTCAGTGACTGTGATTTGTGCTGCTATAAACACGGTATGCATGGACCACCATAGTACGATGTATGATGTCTTTTATTCTTCGGAGAATATGCCCAAGAGCTGGGTCAAATTCACAATAGTCAATCCTCACCCCTCTCTGGTTTTCTTCTAGTCCTGGCAACTCCTTCCTGTCTCATCTGATCCCTGATGCCTTCCTGCCTGAGCACTGATCTCTGCAAGGGAGTCACCACTGAATTTACAGTGTCTGCCAAATGCCCATGCTGTCCACTGGGCACTGGGCACATAGCCAGGAATAAGGTAGATCGTGTTCCTTCTTCCTCCCTAG